AAGGAAGGAAGGAAGGAAGGAAGGAAGGAAGGAAGGAAGGAAGGAAGGAAGGAAGGAGAAAGAAAGGGAAAAAAAGGAAGGGAGAGAAAGAGCGAGAGAGAGAAAAAGAGAAAGAGAAAAAGAAAGAGGAAGAAGGAAAAAGAAAGAAAGAAAAGAGAGAGAAAGAAAGAAAGAGAAAGGAAGGAAAGAAAAGAAATAAGAGGAAGGAAGAAAGGAAGGAAGAAGTCACCAAGCAAAAAAGAATATATACTATATGATTTCGTTAATGTAAAATTCTAGAAAATGTAAACGAATTTGTAGTGATAGGAAGCAGACCACTGGTTGTCTAAGGACAAGACTAGGGGTGGGAAAAGTGGGATGAAGGAATTACAAGGAGCATAAGGTAACTTTGTGGAGTGATGGACATGTATATACATATCATATATATTAATCATATATATATTTTAGAGGTGGAGTCTCTCTGTCACCCAGGCTGGAGTGCAGTGGCACGATCAGGGCTCACTGCAGCCTAAACTCCAGTGGCTCAAACAATCCTCCTACCTCAGCTTCCCAAGCAGCTGGGACTACAGGCGTGTGCCACCAAGCCTGGCTAATCATTATCATGATTGTGGTGATGATTTCATGGGTATATACAAATGTAAAAACTTATTAAGTGGTATGATTTAAACATGTGCAGTTTGTTATATGTCAATCACACTTCAATAAAGTTGCTTTTAAAATTTCCTGATGTTTCTACGGTACCTCTAACATAGTAAGTCCTTAATAAATGTTAGTTCTCTTTCTTTTAACAACTATGTTTTACAACTAGGAACTAATAGGATCATAATTCCTGACTAGGGGAAGTCTTTCTCACTAGAAAAGTATAGGAACTATTTTTGAAAGGCTGAACTGTTTGGTCATCTTTGCTTTCGGTTTTACTAAGGCTGGCAGCTCTCTATATCAGCAACGCCCCCAAAGAGCCAGGCAAAGTGAGTGAGGCCAGCCTAGCTTTCCTCCTCTCCACCCTCACCCCTCAGAGCCATCACCTTGGCAACCTAACCCAATTTGATGGCTTATGAAAACGCAAGGTTCTTGATGTTTGTACCCCCATTGCCCCAGCATACTGTTTGGCGTGTGGCTAGAGCTTAACAAAGGATCAAAGAGAGGAGTGAAGGAAAAGAGTAAAGCTTCTATCCCTGTGCCTGTGTGCCTGCATGGTGACCTCCAGGTCTCCGTGTAGTGCAGATCTCAGCTAAGTCTCAATAAAGGAAATTCTCTGCTCTGGCTGAGGTACCAGACCACTGCAGCTCTGGGTCCTGATAACACCCACAGCTTTCACACCAATGCCTTTCCACAACTACTTCACTTGCTGGGTCTACTGAGCACTCTGCTAGGGCATCACAACCATTCTCGGTCCATCAATCTTGATTGGATAGCAAAACAGATGACATTTTAACATCTTCATGTTGCTAGGGTTCTCAACTTTTGCATTCAAAGAAACAAGATGGTTATCATAGTGGCAAGCGCTGAACTGGAAACCTAGAGACATGTAGCTAGTCCTGGCTCTGCCCTCTCACCAATGAATGACCTGGAATCAACCTAGTCTATACTTGTAACTCATTGGACAGCCTTCCTTACCACAACTGTGCTGTTTCATGGGAGGCAAAATGTTTAAGAGTCACATCACCAGCCTTGGGTTGGGGGTAAGCCCTAGATCTGCCACGTGACAACTAGAAAATGGGTTGAGTGGCCTAGCCCATCCACAGGGCCCTTTATAGGAAATTTTTCTGTGGTCCATTTTTCAAATGGCCTGGGGCTTATTCATTCTCCTATGGGGAAGTAGATGCTGTGGTGGCCGTGAGAAAATAGCTCTTCTGGTAAGCAAAGTGCTAGGTATGCAAACATTCAGTTGGCGGTACCCCTGAAATTTAACTTGAAAATTGCACCTAATGGCTTCTGCAAATTAATAGCATTCAGTGGGGGCTCAGCCTTGTTTCTCTGCAGGACATGCTAATATAAGAGCCTTAAAAATTAATAAATTAATATAGACCACATAACAGTCATACTTCCTATGAAAAGCACCTGCCACACATTAATGAAGCTATCCTTTCATTTTTCTTAAGTATAAGGCTCATGAACAAGGACTTGTATTACTTTTATTCATTACAGTACTCCTAGTGCAATAGAAAAGTGCCTGATACATAGTAGGCACTCCAATAAATGTTTATTGAATAAAAGAATCATTTAATAAAGTCCTTATGAGTTGAATCTGTATGCAGTGCTTTGTAGTATTCTAACCTTCCTTGACCAAAATAACAGCAACTTCATTTCCCCTAACAACTTTCTTTAAATACCCTCACAATTTCCTTCTTCCTTCCTGGGTAGTCTATTAGCATCCTCAGAAGACTGGTAGAGATCCAAGCCTTATTTTCAAGAATAAAAGCTGAAAATCATTATTTCCAGCTTTTTTCAGCGTTATAGATTAAATCTCAACAGAACCCGGGTGGGCTATAGGACTTGTTGACCTGCTGAAGAGGCCCTGCAGAGGACGGTACCATCTTGTAGGCATAGTACTGGTTCAGCTGAGATTTAATCTACAACTCTGAAATAACTATTTCCAGCTTTTATGAGAATAAACAGAGAAGACAGGCTATAGGACTTGTTGATGTGCTGAAGGGGTCCTGCAGAGTATTGTACCATCTTGCCTAGATAAATAAAAGATATCACTATATTGATTAGGTGTTTATTTTATGCCTTAATTAAAGAACCAATCTTGTTTTGCCACTCTTGGTTTGTAGCTAGAAACCAAGTTTCTTGGTTTCATAAATAGAACGAATCTAATTCAAACCCTTAGCTCCACAAAATATTGCAACCATTCAAATTTCCGTGAGAAAAGACATTGTTATTTATTTATTTATTTTTTTTAATTTAAGAAATGTGTGTGCCTTTATTGGCTGAGCAGACTCCTTGAGGGCGGTGAAGCGGGAAGAGTGGGTGGTTCTGATGCCTGGCCGGGCAGTGCTTCACAAGCTTGTAGGTGGTCGAGGTAATGGCCAATCCTCTCGGGCTTGCCCTCCACTTGGTTGAAGGCTTTGCCGTTGTAGACGCCCACCATGCTATCCACCATCTTGTCTCCCATCTCGGGCAGGATGATCATGTCCTGCAGGTGCGCGTTCACCACCTCTGGCTTCTGCATAGGCAGTGCCCACTTCTTGACCTTACACAGGCCCTTCAGCAGCGAGTGCTGGTTCTGCCATAGGCCACAGTACAGCTTCATTCGCTGCTCGCGTGACAAGTCCCGCAGCAGGTCGGGGTGCACGCCGCAGGAGGTGAACTTGCAGAAGGTCTGCTTCTTCTGCTTCGCTGCTTTTTCTGCTCCACTTCTGCCATCTTGACTTTTTTTTAAAACAACATGCCTCAAAGATCTCCAGTGAAATAGAAAACCCAAACTGCCTCCCTTTCCAGTGCTGAAAAATAATATCCTATGGCAGCTATTTCTAGGTCTGTTTATTATCAGAATTGCTTGAAGAGTTTTATAAATGCAGATTCCTTGGCTCTACCACCGTCCTACTCCATCACCCCCCCTCCACCCCAACCCACACACACCCCCCCCCAAGATTCTGACATAGTAGGTCTGGGATATGGTCCAGAATCACTACATAGGAAATGGACCCCAGATGGTTTTGTTGTGCAATCAGATTTTGAAACCACCTTCTAAGCTGTGCTGCTATATAACAAAAAAACACCCAGAACTACTGACTACAAAACCAGGAACTCCTTTCCCCATATTCTAAAGAAGGGATTGTGTCTCCCAGCCTACCTATCCTGCCACATTTGTAGGAGCTACAAACTATAATGCCTGCAGGACCAGGCATGTAACATAAATGCAGGAAAGACACAGAAAGCAGTGAGGACTATGGCAAACACCACCCATCCACAAGGCACAGATGCTTGCCAGTTCCAGCCAAGCATGAACATGGGCCTGTCATCACAGGAACTTCTAAATTCTCAAAAGAATCCAGAAATTTTAAAGATTTTGTATAAAATGATTTTCTAATCTATCGATTTTATTTAAAATGTCTGGTGAAGGCTAAACACATCTGGGGTAGCATGTGGCCCGGAGCCCATGCACTTTGGGAGGCCAAACCCCTCACACCACTGCCATTCACTCAAAGGGCAAGGAGCTAAGGTGTGGGCTAGTGTGAAGGTGGGAGGGGAATATATTCCAATTACCAAGTGACTGCTGATGTTTGCATTTCAGAGCCAAACCAGCAGTCATTAATGAGACTAGCATTAATGGTTCTGTGGGGTGGCACAAAGCCCTTTTAGGTTATATATTCATTCCCCAAGGCTGCTGAAACAAATTACCACAAACTTGATGGCTTAAGCCAATTGACATTTATTCTCTCACAACTGTAAAGGCCAGAAGTCTGCAAAGTGTCAGCGGGTGGGTCCCTCTGGAGGCTCTGAGGGAGAATCATTCCTTGCCTCTTTCCTAGCTTCCGGTAGCTGCTAGCAATCCCTGTCATTCTTTGGCTTGCGGGGATGTCTCCCCAGTCTACCTCTGTCTTCATATGTCCTTCTCCCGTGTCTCCCTTGTCTCGTTTCCCCTTCCATTCTAAGTCCTTATCATTGGATTTAAGGTCCACGCCAGTCCAACATAATCTCAGCTTGAGATTCTTAACTTAATTACATCTGCAAAGGCCCTTTTTCCAAATAAGCTCACATTTATAGGTTCCGGGGTTTAACGCTTGGATATTTCTTTTTAGAGCCACTATTCAACCCACTACAGGTAGGTTTCCAAAAAAAAAAAAAATCCATTATTTCAATCAAATTTTACTTCTATCAGCATTTATCTACCAATTTACTACTATAATAAAAATGACTTACATCTTGGCAGAAAACTTGAAGACATGCCAGCTCAGGCCCAAATGTATGTTGTTACATTTTTTTCTTCTTATATGCCACTAGCTTCACGTCTTACTAGCATTATTCCATTGCTGTATTTCCTGCCATTACTTCTAAAATCAGGGATGTAAGGGTAAAAGGATCTCTGCCTTATACAGGCTTCCACCGTTGGAGAAAATGGTGCTGTCTCCATGTGCGTGGCAAGGAAAACAGGTGACAGTGGAAGAGCAGAGGGCATAGGCTACCAGGTGAAGCAAGAGAACAATAGGTCAAGTAGAAGTCTGTCTTTATTGACCAGAGAAAGACACAGGAAATATGGCTTAGGTGAAAGAGCCCTGGAAGTGCCATGTTCCCAGGAAGAATTTTTTACAGCACCCAAGCACTTAAATGTGATTTCTAGTGCCATCTAGTGGGAAGCACAGGAACCAAGTGAGACCTGGGATGGAAAAACAAAACCATGAGTCCAGCCTTCCGTCACTTTAAGGGGGCGGTTTTTATTGAGGCTGGATTTTTTTGTCTGCCCAGCAAGAGGATCTAAGAAGACTCTTACCAAACATCTGACCATCTTGTATGATGCCCTTACACTTTATGCACAGGTGGTTGCTGAACTCATCCACGTGCTGTGTAATTTGTTCTCCCCAGCTAGCTGGTGAGCAGAAGCTGTCTTTCTTTTTATTAGCACAAGCACAGTGTCTGGCACAGAACAACCTCTCCAAAAAAAATGCCAATTGGGTATAAAAAAAAAAGAAAAATCCAACTTAATGATGCTTTTTATGATCGACCATTTAGCTGTTAAAAATCTGCAGGAACCAAATGGCAAGACAAGCCACAAGAGGGAAACTGCATGACTTATGGTTTGCTAGACTTTGAGCTTTATTAAGCAGTCCTTGGGAGGTACACTCAGGGCCCAATTATAGCAGGGAGTGAGGGTGCTGTGCCCCATGGAGGAAATCGCCCAATGCAACAAGTTGACTCCTCACACTACTGCCATCCACTCAAAGGGCAAAGAGCTAAAAGGTGTGGGCTAGTGTGAAGGTGGGAGGGGAGTATGTTCCAATCACCAAGTGACTGCTGATGTTTGCATTTCAGAGCTAAGCTAGCAGTCATTAATGAGACTAGAAATTCCTTCCCGCTTACCTTGGAACATATCCATCCACAGAACCTCTACCCCAGGGGTCCTCAATTTTGGCTGCAAAACAGCATCCATCACCTGGAAAGCTTTTTTAAAATTCTGATGCACAGGCTGCACTCCAGGTCAATTAAATCAGTCTGTTGCGGGGGGAGCCAGGCCTAGGCATTTTTTAAAGCTTCCCAGGTAAATTCCATTTCTAGGGGTGCTGTAAAGTTACTGCAAATGTAGGGGCTTAAAACAACACAAATTCATCTTATAGTTCCGTATCAGAAGTCCAAAATGGGTCTCACTGAGCTACACTCAAGGTATTGGTGGAGTTGCACTCCCTGCCGGAAGCTCTAGGGAAGCTCTAGTTTTCTTACCTTCTCCAGCTTCTAGAGGCTGCCCACGTTCCTTAGCTAGTGGCCTATGGTCTTCAAAGCTAGCAGTGAGTGGTGAGCCTTCCTCACATTGCTTCACTCTGACACTGACTCTTCTGCCTCCCTCTTCCACATTTTAAGACTCTTGAGATTATGTGGAGTCCACCAAGTGTCTGAATTTGATTACTCAAAATAATCTCCCTATTTTGAAGACAACTCATTAACAACACCAAATCCATCTGCTACATGAATTTCCCTTTGTCATGTAGTGTAATGTAACATTCATAGGTTGCAAGGATTAGGACATGGACATCTTTGGGAGAACATTATTTTGCTTACCATATCCAATGACTCCAATGTGCAGTTGAGAATAACTGCTGGTTGTGCCAGGCACCGTGGCTCACATCTGTAATCCTAGCACTTTGGGAGGCCAAGGCAGGCAGATTGCTTGAGCCCAGGAGTTCAAGACCAGCCTGGACAACATGGTGAAACCCTGTCTCCACCAAAAATACAAAAATGAGCTGGGCATGGTGGTGTGCGCCTGTAGTCCCAGCTACTCAGGAGGCTGAGACGAGAGGGCTGCTTGAGACTGGGAGGCAGAGGTGGCAGTGAGCCAAAATCGTGCCACTTCACTCCAGTCTGGGCAACAGAGTGAGACCCTGTCTCAAAAAAAAAAAAAAGAGTAACTACTGGTCTACCCAACCCATAAGAAGACAGACTTAGAGAAGAGGCCCAGTTAGCAGGCAGCCATGACAGAAGACTGGAGGCACACACTGAAAAATTGGTAGGGAACAAGGGCAAAAAGGCAGAGAAGGGCAATAGGCAGCCTTACCAATTTTACATTGTCACAGAACTTGTTTAGGAAGGGGGGAGGGCAGAGGCGCAAACTGTCATGTGATTTATTCTCATTCAGTTCTCTGATAGTCCTGGGAAGCTAAATTGTACACTCTCCCAAGGATGATGGGACCATCCCCACTCAGCTGTAGCCATTAAAGAAAATTGAGGTCATAGATAAGACTTTTCCAGACTTTTGTAACTCATTGCTATCGACTTGCTCCTTGTTTTGTACTCAGAACCTGGGTGCACGCCAGATTCTCAGGCATTTTGTAGGCTGTCTCCCCTATAATCTGTCTCTATGCAAAATAGATTATAGCTTGAAGATGTATACTGATTGGCCAACATTTTAATGTCAACACACACACACACACACACACACACACACACAAGATTTCTGGCTTCTCTTAAAAGACCTAGCTATGCTAAGACAGTGCTCCTGCAAGACAACTCAGCTGGGACAGCCGCTGCCTTTAGAGGAGACATTTATTCTCTGGTTTGCCACAGGTCTCATCCTAGCCTTTTTGTTTTATACCTGGTTCACTCGCTCCACATATTTGTTACTTGCTTGGTCTGGTAGGCATTGAAGCTTCCAACCCTCCCCCTCCTCTAGAGCTCTCCCCCCTAAAGTTAGGCAAAATTCCCATAAGGAACCATTTGCCTGTCATTAGTGCAAAAGCGAAAAGCTCTCCAGTGGAAAACATGGGATTCAGGCCAATGGCTGTCTGTACACACACAACTTTCCTCACAATCCAGCAAGCTCCAGAGGGCAGTCAGACTAGGGTTTGAGTAACAGGCTGCAGCCACCAAGTGTTCTGGTGAACATACTGGTCTCCACTGGTACAAATTTCCTTTGTAGGAAATTAAGCCAAAAACTGACTCCTGTCCCTTGGTCTTTCTCAAGCCTTCAGCACATAACCAATTTCCTTCTTCTTTTATACTTAAGTCTTGATAATCATCACCCATGAGTGCCTCTTCCCACCTCCAAATGTGGGAAGCGACATGTAAATCCGTGCCTAACTCTGTGGACCATTCCCCCTAAGATGTAACTGAGACCTTATCATTCTGATGATGCCGAGCTTGGCCGTGCCACCCAAATGTGCTGCTC